ATATATATATATATATATTGTGTCTGGTTGAAATTTAAGAAAGTAAATGCAAGGCATGTAAAGCTGAAGAAATCATATATTGTTATAAAAGCCACTTTTTGTATAGAAATTGAGTTCATTTTTTTTTTAATGAAACTTATATAAATCCCCCCAAATGAAGGGGATATGAGTTCTTGAATGCTTCAATCAACACTCAGAAGATTGATCTCCCTATCATGGTATATAAATTCCTTGTCGTTTTGATAGATGGCATGCATGGAGTGTGTGGTTTTGTTGTCCTTTGATGTCGATTGATTTGATAAAATACACATTCATAGAGCGTTTAGTGTTTGTTTCCCCGGTGCTGATTGTGACAAGGTTTGAGAAGATTAGTGTATCGTTAAGATGATCATAAATGTTGATTTCCAATTAAAAAAAGTACTACGGTTTGGCATGGCCGGAGCACGTTACATCAGGAGCCGGCAACGAGTATAAAAGGCACATGCAAACACCCAGGATACTTCTATTTTTTAATATATAAATATCATATGACCCTTCATCTACACACACACACACACACATACATTTAATAAAATGCAAAAACACCCAAGCTTATACTATAATCAAACACACGTGATACTAAATTTAGAGATGTAACCGACCTTTATTAATTGTGGGCCAAGTCGTTTGCTCTCCACCAGGTGTATTATCACATGTGATAAAGTTGTTATCGTATTTAATAAAATGAATGTTTTCCTATAACCCATAGTTTATTTTTTTTAGATAAAAAGGTATTTAACTTAAAACTTGTTGAAGTTATAAGCAAATGCGAGTATGCATTAATATGTCTTGTAATCATGAGAATGGATAAAATGTAGGTGGGTGATCATGGGGTCAAGTCGATTAGTTGATTTTCCCATGGTTGACAATTGGCATGCATCGATCTAAACATTAATTAATATGTCGACTATTCGAGCTAAGTTTGTAACGTATATAATTTATTTAATTTAATTCCTAAACCTTCGTCTCCTAACAACTCCAACCCATAACGTACGTAATTAATAGGGGTACAATCTCAAACTATGTCAACTTCTTATATCAAGTATTTAATAAGCTAGGCTTTTTATAAAATGCAATGCAATGCAATGCAATGAATGAGTCACAAATTTCAGATATTTTATATTTTGGGTAGAAAAACTAATACTAAAACCACAAGTCTTGACCTTACAATTTCCGCCTTTTTGTTTGATCAAAGCTTACGAAATAAATCAACCGAGAACCACAAACCACAACTAATGGCGACACTCTTAAATTGACGGCATTAACATTACAAGAACGCCACCAATCATCTAATAGCGATTTGATGACTGTTTCGAAGAACAAAATTGCTGCTTGACATCAACAAAACTACAAAAGATTTGATGCTTGATGTTTTGTTGATTCCCCTTCTAATGTAGCATTTAATAATTGTATGTTGAAATGGGGAATGCCCGTTTGACTCGGAACCTAAAGTCATGGTGACGGTTTCCTTTTCTTTCAGTTTTTGGACCAACGGCAGCGCCTCTTACCTTTACTTTTCTCGTTTTTCCCACTCCAACAACTTTATTTATTTATTTATTATTAGTCTTTTTTCATTCAAAATGATGATTACATCAAACTAAAGCTATTTTTGGCAAACCAGGTTAAAAACTAATTGTTGACTGATAAACTAATTGTTTATTAACAAGTTGGTTGTTAGATATAACTTGTTACATTTGTAAAAAACGAGTTGATATAAAATGAGTCAAATGACCTAATATATATATATATATATATATATNAAGTTGGTTGTTAGATATAACTTGTTACATTTGTAAAAAACGAGTTGATATAAAATGAGTCAAATGACCTAATATATATATATATATATATATATATATATATATATATATATATGAACATTTATGTAAAATACAAAGGCATAATTGAAAACAGTTAAAAAGACAAGTTTAATAAAGTATATTATGGATCCGTTTGGTTTGTAGGATTGTTTTTTAGAGATTTGGATTTCATGGAGAGATTTAGATTGGAATGGATTTGAAATCAGCGTGTGTTTGGTTTGTAGGATTTGGAATGAAATTGGATTTCATTATTTATAAATAATTTGTAAAAAAAATTATAAACAAATATACAAATAATTGAATTACATGTTTATTAATCGATCATTACAAAACAAATGTTTTTAGAACCTTATTGCATATAATTCTATGAAATCCCGACTACTCCCTAAGGATTTAAAAATCCTATATTTGAAGGATTTCAATTAAATATTAGGATTACAGATCCGGACAATCCAACAAACCAAACATAGGATTGAAATGAAAATGCTCCAAAATTAATTTCATTCCTTCAAACCAAACCACATCATAGGGTAGTTTGTGAAAAAGTTATTTATAGCTTATTAAATAAAAAATGTTTCTCAGTAATTCAAAAAATAAGGTAGCATATGATTGTAAAAAATGATTTAAAAGTATAAGTCAATGTTTACTATTTATATTTAGTGTTTATAGATGGGGTATTATTGGAGCGAATGTAGGTGACAATGCGACATAATGTTGTAGTGAAAATAAGAGAATTTTTGGTATATGTCAAGAATCACAATTACTTAACTTTATTATGCTTGCAACATGTATACTTAATAATGATGTAAAATGGTATTTCAGTTTTGTGATTGTTAACCTATAATTGTCGAGTTACGGAAGCGACCTCACAGGAACGTAATTGTTGTCACTACCACTTACAATGTACTTGAGTTTTGATCCTCTTTCCTTTCCTAGGGGTATTTTAGTGACAGGTTGTATAAAAACTAGAGGATCTTATTTGGTCAAATACATAACAAAAAACTCCTAATAAGTCAAAAATAAGGATAGAAATGCATATGTTGCGGTAGTAATAGTTGTTCAAAGGATTTATGTATACTTTTTTTTAGAGTTGATGACAATTTTTGTTTTGGGTTTAAATTTTAGAAAATGTTGCATTGTGATTTTCATTTTGGTTTAGAAATAGAATTGGGCTACTAAAAATTATAATTCATTTTGAACTAATTATAAGATATGTAATAAGTTTCAAAGCATAAGGACTGAAAATGTAAGTTACGTATGCTTTGCTCGCTCTATGTATGAAATTTGAAATCCCACCCCACAGAGAGTCGTAAAAATGGAGAAATACACGAGCCTTGAAATCATCGACAACTCTCCCTCCCCCGTCTTCATCCTCCGCCTAAACACCCCTCGCCGTAGTAATGCCCTCTCATCCCAATTCTTTCAAGAATTCCCAGCTGCCCTATCCTCTCTCGACCAAAACCCTAACGTTGCCGTCATCATCTTATCCGCCAAAGGCAATAACTTCTGCGCCGGCTTCGATCTCAAAGCCCTAGCCTCGCTTACCGCAGACATCCACACTGGTTCAGACCCTGCTCGCTCTGCCGAAAGATCCCGCCGCCACATCAAGTTTATGCAGGACGCCATCAGTGCCATCGAACACTGCCGGAAACCCGTCATCGCCGCCGTACAAGGTGCTTGTATTGGTGGAGGTGTTGATATGATCACTGCCTGCGATATGAGGTTTTGCACGGAGGACGCCTACTTTTGCGTGAAGGAGGTTGATTTGGCTATCACAGCAGATCTGGGATCGCTCCAGAGGTTGCCGGGGATTGTTGGGTATGGTAACGCCATGGACTTGGCTCTCACCGCACGCACTTTTTCTGGTTCGGAAGCAAAGGCGATGGGACTTGTTTCCAAAACATTTGGTTCCAAGGCAGATATGGATGAAGGCGTTGGAGCTATTGCGGAGGGTGAGTGGTATATACATATATATATATTCTGAATTGCTGATTTCATTTTCTGATAAATTACAAGGAGCAGTTTAAGAATAGAATGATAATGATAATGATAATGATATTACCTCTAACTTAACTCTTAAGGAGGAATTTGAGAATACAAGATATGGAGTTGTAGATTGATATTTGAATTGCATTCTGCTACTTTATGAGTGAAGGGAATGCAAAGATTTAAGGTGTTATTGGGGATGGAGAGGGTGAGTGATGTAAGAGCAGCCTCAATGACCTAATCAGAATTAGCTATGAGAACTGGAAGGAAGTATATCAAAATCAATTGCATTAGCATTAGCATTAGCATTAGCATTAGCATTAGCATTAGCATTAGAAAGGGGGTTATTAGGAGGATCTAAGTTGTTAGTTTTGTTCAAGTATCAAAATCAAACCCCAACACCATTGAAGGTAGCGTAGTGGTACCTGTATAACAAGAAGCTTGTTAGAGGTGAAGAGTGTGTAAAAGACAAGGGTTTTGAAGAGAGAGTAGCAGAAATTGGTTGGTTGATTGAGATGTGTTTGTTATTGAAAACAGGGATTGCTGCAAAATCTGGATTGGCGGTGATAGGGACGAAAAGGGTGATGATAACAAGTAGAGAGATGAGATTGAATGAAGGTTTGGATTATGTTGCTACTTGGAACTCTGCTCTGTTTTTATCAAATGATTTAAAGGAGGTTGCAGCCGCACGCGCACAAAACAGAAAACCTTCCTTTTCCAAGCTCTGATTCCTATGTATTTATATATGTATCTTGTTATCTTACTAAGTCATCGAATGGGCTGCTTGTGTTAAACTAACTCGGTCATTGTTGGTTTATTACTAAATAATATGTTTAATTATAGTTTTCAAAATTATGGGTATTACCCCTACCCCTACCCCTGTAATAACAACAAATCCAATTTGATTTAAATATATATACATTTACATCTTTTATTTTGCAAACCAGCTAAGAAATGGAGTTGGTATGCAGATTTAATTATTAGCCGAGTGGAATATAGAGTTGGTATTCAGATTGTTTATTTCATGAGCAGCAGCTAATTCAAGAGTTGGAGTTGGAGTTGGAGTTGGACATTTATATAAAATATTAAGCAAAACAAAGCAATCAATGGTAGAATGGAAATGTTTTTTGGGTTTTATGCTCCATCACCATCATCAATAACTTATAATATAGTATTTTCAGGTCAACATTACATTTATATATATGCTTCTTTCATTTTGTATATTAACTTACATCTAAACCTAATTAAGGATATAAATATAAACAATAGAGTTGTAATTTTTCTTTTTTATTATGTTATATTATATATAAAAGTAAAAGAGGAGAGGAGAGGAGAGGTTTGAAAATTGAAATGAAAATGAATATATTATGTAAAGAATAGAATAATAATTGCAGGTTTCAATCTCCAATTCTCACACGCAAACACCACCTTCTCATCTTTTACCTTTTATATACCTATTATATATTATATATGAAAGGAAAGGAAAGGAAAGGCTCATATGTATTATTATTATTATTATACAATATAATTAAACGTTTAAATAAAGATTATCAATCTTTGTGGTTGTGGAGACATGAAGTTATATTTCTTATTATCAAATAAAACAATGACAGATGATATAACAACAATACCATACAACTCATCATATCATAACATTCTACCTAAAATCAACAACAATACCATACAACTAGAAATTAAAATTATAAAATTTGCTCTCACAATCCCATTACATTTTGATTTCATAGACGTCTTGTCTTGTATACTTATCCCACAACCATCACTTCAAAGGCTTCATGTTTTCATTTTCTTTCATTCAACATACCTGACCAACTACAACCTCTCTCAATTCTAATCTAACTTATTATATGAGCCTCAGGGCTAAAACACAAACCCTTTAAAACCTATGTCCTTCAGCAAACACAATTACTATATGTAATTAGCTGGAAGTTGTTCAATTTTGTATATTTATATTTATATTTATAGCCAACATAAACCAAATACTTGACATCTTTAATCTCATTTCATTAGAATTGTAATCATATTTGAAGGATGTTTCTTAACCACAATTCAACTTAAATTAATATGTCTAATTGCAAACAAATCATTGCTTCTTTCCTTTCATTTGATTTAGGGTGAATCTTTTTTCCCCCCTTAAATGAGCAAAACCAAGAACCAGAGGGACCAACTCTGTATTATTATTATTATTATTATTAATTATTATTATTATTATTATTATTATTATTATTATTATTATTATTATTATTATTATTATTATTTTTTATGAAAAAAGAAGAATTAATTGCGTCATATGGGAAAGGAGGAGATTGAGTCCGGTTTACGCCAAACACACTTGTCGTCCTCCCCCTCCTCCTCCTCTTCTTCTTCTTCTTCTTCTTTGTACCGCCCCCAATTACTCTACTATAAAGACACCCTCATTTTGCTTCTTACATACCTACATACTCATCTCTCTTCTTCTTCTTCTTCTCTATCTCTCTCTCTCTCTCTCTCTCTCTCTCTATATATATATATATATAGATATATATTTATCTCATTCCTAATGGTGTTGAAAGAGATGGATAATTTTGGTGTCTTGAGATTGCCTCCTGGGTTCAGGTTCCACCCAACAGACGAAGAGCTTGTGGTACAATACTTGAACCGCAAGGTCCACTCTTTCCCTTTGCCTGCTTCCATCATCCCTGAGGTTGATGTTTGCAAGTCTGATCCTTGGGATTTACCAGGTTTACCACTATGCCTCTTCTTCTTCCTATCAAATCATCTCTCTATAAAAATAAAAAATAAAAAAAGTTTAATAATAAAATGTATGTCTTGTTGTTGGTTTAGGTGATTTGCAGCAGGAGAGGTTCTTCTTCAGCAGCAGGGAAGTCAAATACCCGAATGGAAACCGATCCAACCGCTCCACACTATCTGGATACTGGAAAGCAACCGGGTTAGATAAGCAGATTGTTAGTTGGCGGAACAAGCAAGTAGTGGGCATGAAGAAGACTTTGGTTTTCTATAAAGGGAAGCCACCGAGCGGACGTCGAACTGATTGGATTATGCATGAGTACCGACTAGCAGCAGCTAGCCCAGAAGCCCAGGTGAGAAAAATGAAATGAAGCATTGTGTGTAACTATGGGAGACTTGTTCTATCACTAATTAAGCCAGTATGATGGTTACACACACAGGGCATGGAGAAGTGGGTGGTGTGCAGGATTTTCTTGAAGAAAAGAGGGAAGAAGGAGGAGGAAAAACAAGAGAAAAATGTGCAAAAAGGCAAGTCCAATCCAATAATATTCTATGATTTCATGGCAAGTAAAAGGAAGGGGGATTTGCCATTACTATCATCTGGTTCAAGTGGGATTACTACTAATACTAATACCAATACTAATACAAGTGAGGATGATGAGGAGGAGCAGAGCAGCAGCAAATGCTATGATGTATCGACTTTTAGGAGAAAAGAGTGAGGAGCACTACAAGTAGTGGAGTGGATGCTTAAATTTATTAATTTTTAGGAAGCTTAATCAGAAGAATAATTCCCAATTTAGATATTAAGATTCATTCTACCTTCCTTCATCCATGGAAAGAAACAAGAGAGAAAGGAAGGAAGGAAAGAAGAAAGTAGCTGCTACTTTGTAATCTGTTTTTGATGATTCCAATTTCATCTTTCTTCAACTTAAATTATACACATATATCTATATCTAAGATGTTTGTATGCATTTTTATTTATTTATAAGATTCCGTGCATTGTACATAAACCTTTTAAAACACACAACACACCGCTGCTGCTGCTGGTGGTGGTTTGACCTTAATGAAGCAATTTTATCTCCAGACTCTTTAAAATGAATAATAATAATAATAATAATAATAATAATAATAGAGATATATGAATTAAATATAAAGGGTAGAGGTAGGTTTGGATTTGATGACAACAAGGGGACGTGGATTGTCAATTAAAGTATCCTAGCGTATCGGTTGGGTTGATAATAGGCCTAAGGTTTAATGTTAAGGAGGCCGGCAATTATCAAATAGTTCAATTATTTTACAAACAAACATATTCCAACAAAATGCACATATGATACGAATTACGATTATGCCTACAAAAAGTCAAAATAATAATTCAATAATAACTCACAGATGTATATATGGCAAAAGATATGTATTTTATGGACATGGGTGTTGGAGTTGTTCACGTCACCCTCTTCTCTAATTCACATTTTTTAATACTAGATGGATTTTATTTCAATCATCCTTTTACCAATACCTTTGTCACATCATTCAATTTCAAACACCACCATCCAATTCCAATTCCAATTCCAATTTACCACCTACTTCTATTTCCTATTCCTATTCCTTTTCCTTATAGTTCACTGGGAAGGACTTCTTCTAACAAGAAACAAACATCGATCAGGAGGCCTGCAAATTGCAAACACCAACCAATTAATCAATTACTACGTACCCCAGTTTTTCTACCTTTTTTTAAACAAGTAAAGAAGCAAAGAAAGAGAAAAGAGGGAGAGGGGTCCTCCACCTCCAGTACATACATCAGTTGACCAATTCCAAAACCCAACCACCTTAAATGCTGTTCATTTTGGAAAAAGGGATGGTATCGGTTGCTTACACTCTCTGCAACAGCGACCCCTCCTTTTTTTTCTTTCTGTAAAGGCTTTAATTCAAACAACATGGGGGTGGGTTTGGTTAATCAAGAATCAAAACTTAAACTACCTTACAGAAAATAAAATGAATATTGCCGTCTGGTTCTGGGTTCTGGTAGGCCCCCGCCACCATCACATGAACTTATTATTATTCAACCACCATTTTCATCCACAACACTCACATATATGCCACCAAAAAGAACCTGCTCACCTCATCCATTACATAGGGACCGATCAACTCAAAAGATACGCCGAAAAAGCCTCGGATCTTCCATATCACTGAGGAGTACGGACTTTATGCAACATGCTAACAAACTTTCCAACAGAATCCCCTTTCAAAAATACCATCATTTAAAAAACTATAGGATGGATATCTGGGTGCAAATTTGGTTTGGATGTTGCGTGCAAAATACCAAATCCACTAATGGCCTCAAAAGACTTCTACCACTACAAAACAATAGGATGGGTTTTTGGTTTCTAGCACAAAAGGAGCAAAAAGGGATTTGTCATTCTTTTTCTCTTAACATATCACTCTCAACCCTGGTCTCCTTATCTCCAATGTCTTTTCGACAGGGACTTGCAAGGAATTTTCCCCTTTCAGAGCAGAACCTTAGAGTGTCCACCTTTGCTATCTTATCCAACCACATATTCCAAAATCTAACATGGGTCCTCATTATCTTATTCCAAGATTCGGAATCATCGCTTCTGTGGCCGTGTTTCAAACAGCAAAACCTTCTCCCTACAATTGTTACAAACTTGACACTGATGGTGATCTATCTTAAAATCAACTTGTAATAAACTCTGCGGAAAAAATACAAAAAAAGACTATGACCTAACACTAATCCACTAATTAGACGCATCTAACAACTGGATTTATTTAGATATTTAACTTCAGAAATATCAGGCTCTTCTGCTATGCCAAACCTAATATAGCAATGATAACACCAATTTCATACTCTATTCATGTCATAAAAAAATCCCACAAGAAAGACAGATGAAGGATGTCATCAAGAAAGGAAAGGGTAATCATATACTTTTTCAGTTTTAACAAAACTTATGGATTTCTAGAGTCCATGCTAAAGAAACGCACACACATTTAATAGATAAAAATAAGGCTAAGCGGAGGCAAAATTAACACCCCTTCAGGCTTGTTATGTGTTCTTACTAATTGTTGTCTAGTCTTGGTTAATGGTGTCTTCTTGCACCCCTGACCCTTCAGCATTCATCTGTGACGTTTTTGAAGGTGGTGGCTGTGAGCATTCCCTCAAGACTGCCTCATTCTACAAAAGGGAGAAACTTTTTTATCATTTCATATACCTAATGAAGTTAGATTTCGAGGAACAATTACATCTATAACCATTATAAAGAAACAATTTACTACAGGTACAGTTGAGTGCAAAACTTAAAATTGTTCTCTGATAAATTAACATGTAATAGCAACAAATAGAATCATAAAACTAAAGGTGTAAACTGAAGCTGTGCTTACAAGAGGAATGCAAAATGAAAAAAAGGATGTTCGAAGATAGAAAAGAAAGCCGACCATGGGGTTGTCATTATGTTCAAGGTTTCATCTTTCAGAGATGGAACTTTGCAACAGAGGGCCAAAAAGGAAAAATGGACTTTTCAGAGAAGTACAAAGGAAGGATGGAAACATGGGAGACGACAAGGTAACAGATAGGACTCATCAATGTTAGCTGAAAGTTTTTATGATGCATTTATCAAGAACACAAAGGACAAGCAGCATGCCACTGCCACGTCTAAACTTTCAGAATCATCACCCTTGAACCTCTATCGAGTTTCCGATCCATGGCCACCCGGCCGATAGAGTTGGCTAGGCCCCCTGCCATGCAGAAAACGTTAAAATGCTTAAAGACTTCTTGACGAGGACCAGGTTACTTCCCATGAGTTCAGCATTAATCTTGTTTAACTTATCTTCTGACTGCACATAAGGATTTGAAGAAGACACAAAATCACAGAAAAACATAAAACCATGGGTTGCTAATATCTACCCATCCACCTTCTAGGACATTAGCAAATAGTCCACTCCAGGTGAGAGAGATAATGCATCCACATGTATTTGAGAACTCTGGAAAGAGGTGATGGGTGTAGCTTGAGTGGTGGCAGTAGAGATGGTAAACAGTGAACAGATTGTAAGTACACCGAATGGAGTCCTTTGAATACTGTTGGATAATACCACTGTATACTGGGTGGTATCTTTCTTTCTTTTATTTTTCAGAATGTTACCACTAATTTCATGCTAGTCACAAGTATCAAAGAAAATTTGCATGTCGCTCTTTTTCGGAAAATGTGACTGCTCAAATGGCACTCTCCCTGCAAATTGAACACTGAATTGAAACTGCAGGGGAGCTCCTTATCCTGTTATTCATCAACTACTAGTTACCAAAAAACGAAAAGAGAACTACATGTTGGTATTTTCGTTTGAAAAGAAGGCACGCCTGCTCTGGAATACAAATCAGCGACCTGAGCAATTCCTCGGGTTTCAATATTTAGTTGCATTGTATATAACAATGCGCTAAGTTAAGCTCACACAGTCCACATATTAATCTATTGAAAACCCAACTTCTACATGTACTTATCAACTCTTTCTCAGAGAAATCTTAATTATGGCACTGATTAAAATATAATTCACAATATTGGTGGAAGGCCTGCAGCATTTTAGAATATATATAGTATAGCTCTCCCCTTTCCTTGACAAGCTCTGCCAACAATGAACTTACATGATCTGCGCACTAGCATTCATCCACACAAATCCTTCCCTTTTATATATGATCTATTTAATTGTGTGGTAACTTGAGGATGGCACCACAATTGGGATGGCCGACATGATGTCACATAAGAATGATATGTAAATACTACTGTGACCAACGACAGAGAATTCATCTTTCCTAAACTCACATGATTTGCTCTCCAACCAATGCAAACAGCTCAATTTTAACACATTCACCCCTGGTTAACTTGCAACTCCATGTCACATTGCCTTTGAGAAACAGGTTCCAAGCAGGGTTGGTCCCATTCACTATTATTTAAGACAAGTGTGCAACAGTCACCCCAGATCCCAGGACGAGAGGCAAGGCACATAACAAACAAAGACTGGGAATGACATATCTATACTACTGCTACAAAAGACGGGCAATTCATCTTTCCTTTATGTCAACAATAACAAAGTTACATGACCAGCTGCACAATTAATGCAAACAGCCTGATATAACACCTCCCCCTCCCCTTTTTTGTGTTGGGGGGTGTTAACTTGCAACTCCATGTCACATTGTCTTTGAACTTCGAAGAACAGGTTCCAAAAAATTATTAGTCCCAAACTCCCAATCACAATTATTTAAGACAGTGTGCAATAGTAAAAGCTACAAGCACCCCAACAAAGTGAGGAACATGGCTTGCAAAAGATGATATGTATATGTGTGTGCATGCGGTTACACATGTATAAAAGAGATAAAATAAAGCATATACACTTGACATATTGAATTTATTGAAGCATTATTAGCATTAACACATACATAATAACGTTATCAACATTCGACGAAGAATCATTAATATTCACTTAAATTATCATGAATTGACAATTTAACATTTAAATGAATTGACCAACAACATCAATAGTAATACTAGACTAGCATCAAATCATGAACCAAAGACATTCAACCAACATCAGTAAACGAGTCACCAATCAGCATTAACCATAGACATGCCACTAACCTCAAGCTCATCAAGAGAATCATTACAAACAAAAGATGAGAGGTGAAGACTGAAGAGACTAAAGGCAAGGCACTGAAGACAACTCAATATCTGTTTATCCTTCTGCTTAACACAAAGAACCATAGAAGTGGATTACTTTGAAGCCGTTTTCAGTAGAAAACCATCCACTTCTATCTGGGTTCATCATATCCTACCTTTGAGGCCAACGTGTGTCAACTGTCAACCACACAAGATGTCAAGGGTATTATGCATCGACAGGCCTCAGACCTACACAAGCCTAGTCATGTGGCTAGGCATGCCTGTGAGAATTGAAGGTTCCATTTTTCCTACCTCAAAACAGGAATGAAGCACATAGTTTAATTACAATATCCTTGATGTAGTAAGGTTTTCTCCTGTCTAAAGCAAATTTCAGAAAGTAACCGCATAACTCCATAAGAACATAGCATTGAAGTTGTTTATTTCCCAGGTGATAAGACTAATCGATTAAGAAACAGATGAATTGAATGGCATTATTATCAAGTCAAATACGGCATACAAAACCCTAGAGGAGGGAGAGAGAGAGAGAGAGAAAGACCTGCCAAACTCGAAGAATACGCTTCTTGGCGTTGGCTTTACGGGTAGTAGTGAGCTTAATTCTCTTCCAGACGAGGCCTCCTGAATCGTGCTTCTTCACTATTTCCATAACTCGCGTCCCCCAAAAAGCTCCCATTTTCATTCCGATGATAGTATTCACTCACTCGCTCGCTTCATGTTTATTCGAAATCGAAGCTATGCTATGTACCTACCTAATAGGCTGGGCTGGGCTGGGCTGGGCTGGGCTACTAACTGGACTTTTTGCGTTAATATATCCGATGCTATGACTATGACTATGACACATGACATTTAGGTAAATAATTTAATACTAATATTTTAATTTAAATAGTTGATATTGTTTAATAATGTATACTTTTTAAAATTTAAGTTTATAAATAATATACCTAAAGCAGTTGATAATCTTAAAATTATTTTTTTAATACATAAAATACTGTTTATTGATATAAATTATTTAAAATTCGAGATTACAAATAAATTATGTGTGTGTATAACTTATCAAAACTCTATTTTTAATTTTTAATTAACTGCAGATAAATATAGTTAAATACAAAATAAATATCTTATTTTAAATATAAACAATCTAAAACATAATTAGGATAATCATTGTGTTCTAACAGAATACTTAATTATTATACTTATAAAAATTTATATTATTAAATCAAATCATTGAATTAACGAAATTACACAAAAAAACAAAGACTTTTAAATAGTAAATTTGATACTAATATCGATAAATTATTTTCAAATTTATATTTTAAAACATTATCGCTTTCTCAAAACCATTTAAAATTGTATTATATCGATAAAGACAAAAAAAAATGAAACATTAAAGTCGAGATGCATCTTGCTGCATTGCACAAGTACCCTTCTAATATATATATAGATATATATATATATATAGATATATATAGATTGGTTATTATACAACTCTTTACATTCGTGCAACCAATACAACTCAATCTCAACCGTCTATTTCATTTGATTAATATATGATTTTATAGAAGTTTTGATTATTTCCCAATATAAAGTATTGATCACAATTAATGAATCATATTCATCTTCCATAAATATTCAAATCATAATAAATGAACTCTCATCATTTCCATAATTATATCAATTTATTGGGTTACATTGGTTGTACAAATGCGATGAGTTGTATTTGAAATCATCTCTCTCTCTCTCTCTCTCTCTCTATATATATATATATATATATATATATATATATCCTTTGAACTTCATAAAACTCACCAAAAAAACATCACGCTCATATACAAGATAACTGTTAAACCTTATTAATACGATGATTATAATCTTTATGAAAAAAGTATCTCCATGTTTAATGATGAGGTGTTGGTGTTGTAAGCTCATGTTTAGCTATGATGTTTTGAAACGAACATATTGTAAAAGTCTTGCAAACCAACTTTATCAAGGGAAATGTGTGTTTTCATTGCAATCTTAAAATATATACAGTGACACATATCAAATTAATTCGATGACACTTTTACAACCCTATAATTTTTTACGGTATAACAAAAGAAACAAACTAATAGCATGAAGCACCGTTTGGTCTACATCATATTACCAATCAATTAATCTTCAAGTAATAAACAATTATATATGGTCTTTTTTTTTTATTTTTAATTATGACTCCAATAAACTCTAAAAATAAAGGGGTAGGGGGTATGGAAGTTGTGAGTGGTGAGGAAGTTATGTTTCACGTTTTTCATCCACCATGCCATTTGCCATTTGCCATTTACCATTTGGATGTAGTAAATGTGTTTTTTTTTTGTAAGTTTACTTATATTATAAAAAAAAAATATCAATTTCTATTTTTATTTTTTTATACCAGCAGAATACATTTTATTTTAATATTTTATTTTTTTTGTCTCTGTTGATATAACAAAGTTTATGTGGTTGTAAGAAGGGAAAATTGCACCAAAATAGAACCAACTTTCACTTGATTCCTATTTTGGGGAACCAACTTTCAAAATCGTCATTTTGGGGAACCAACTTTCACTTGATTTTTATTTTGGGGAACCAACTTTCAAAATCGTCATTTTGGGGAACCAACTTTCACTTGATTTTTATTTTGGGGAACCAACTTTCACCTGATTCCTATTTTGGGGAACCAACTTTCAAAATCGTCATTTTTGGGAACCAACTTGGACCTGATTCCTATTTTGGGGAACCAACTTTCAAAATCGTCATTTTGGGGAACCAACTTGCATCTGATTCCTATTTTAGGAAACCAACTTGCAAAATAATTATAGAAAAATAACTAAAATTCATTTCTTTTCAAAAATTAATGCAATAAAATCTATTTTTCATTTCAAATCTCGTTTCTTTAAATTCAGATATCAAATTGAATTCGAAAAATCCAAATTACCACGATAAGAATTGTTTTTTACTAATGCAATAAAAAAATCAATTTAATAGAAAAAATTAATTGATGCAATAAAAAATAAATATTAAATATCACATTCAAGATTTTTATATTTAACCAATCTGTGTCAATATTAAAATTTAAATCAAATTTGGCAAATCCAACCAAAAGTTTGATAGAGACCCTTAAATTATCTGTTACCTGTTCAACAGATCAATCAGACCCTTAAATAAACAAAAAGTTCGATAGAGACCCCTAATTCCCTAAATGACGATTTTAAAAGTTGGTTCCCCAAAATAGGAATCAAATGAAAGTTGGTTCCATTTTGGTGTAATTTTCCCATTTTTCTATAATTATTTTGCAAGTTGGTTTCCCAAAATAGGAATTAGGTGCAAGTTAGTTCCTCAAAATAACGATTTTAAAAGTTGGTTTCCCAAAATAGGAATCAAGTGAAAGTTGGTTCTCCAAAATGACGATTTTGAAAGTTCGTTCCCCAAAATGAGAATCATGTAAAAGTTGGTTCCATTTTGGTGCAATTTTCCTTTGTAAGAAAGATAATGTTTTTATTTTTGAAATTATATCGATATTAATATCAAAATTAACTATTTAAAAGTTCTTGTTTTTTTTTTTTTACAATTTCTTTAATTCAAAAATTTATTATAATTTAATTTAGGTCTAATAGAGAAATAATTTATTTTTGGCTTAACAATATAACTTTTATAAAGATAATGATTATGTTAGAACTCAATGATTATTCTAGTTATATCTTATATTTTTTTATATTTAAAATGAGATGTTTATCCTGTATTTGATTATTTTTATTTGCAGTTAGTTATACGAATTCAAAAACAGAGCTTTAATAAGTTGTATTTATGCACAATTTACTTGTAATATTAAATTTTAAGTAATATGCATTAATAAACAGTAATTCATATATAAAGAATAATTCTTAAGAGTTTTTATCAAAATGTTTTATAACATAATATAGATTTTTAAAATGAGGTCATTTACAATTACCTAAAAGTAGTTGAATTCTTCTTGTTTATAATTATTTAATGAAAATTATATGAAAACTTAAATGGCAAGGGTAGTTGGGGTTTTTCCAGAGTCCAAAATGGCATGGAGATGGAGCTGCCTTTATATTTCCATTTCTCTGCTTTCAATTCTGGGCACTGTCACTTCCTTCAATTCTTCATCAAATATCCACTTTTCATTAGTTGTGTTTTCTCTTCCCACACAAGCTGATGCCGGGTTTTATAAGCCACCAAGTTGCTGCCAGGGGCTTGTCTCTTCTGGTATATATGGAAAATCTTGCACCATTTGTTTCAAGCTTTCTTGTATTCAATTTCTTTTCTTATGTGCAGAGGCTAAGGCCTGTGGCAGCAACTATGAGGACTTACTCATCTGCGACCAAAGAGGTGACCGTGAGTTGCCCTTCTACTTACATGCATTGTAGCCTTATTTTCAACCTTTTTTTCTGCTAGTTTCTTGTTTTTTTTCCTTTAAAGATTTTGATTTCAAGGATTTACAGATGACAGTAAGAGATGCTCTTAACTCTGCTCTCGATGAGGAAATGGCTGCTGATCCTAATGTTTTTATTATGGGTGAAGAGGTAAAAGAATCTTGTCTTGATGATTGTATCTTCTTCCTTTCTCTTTCTCATATGTTATATTCTGCAGGTTGGAGAATACCAAGGTGCTTACAAGGTTAGAATACTGAAAATTAGGCTTAGGTTTCTCAAATTAAACAACCAACAAGCATGCATGTATATATATATATATGGATTTGTTTTTTGCTTTGATAGATAACCAAGGGTTTACTGGACAAGTATGGTCCTGAGAGGGTTGTTGACACGCCTATCACAGAGGTTAAATAGTTACTCCTATCCATTTTAGTAACTTACTCATGACTTGATACTAAAATGTATACTTGCTTGCATTAATTATTCAGGCTGGCTTTGCCGGGATTGGTGTTGGTTCCGCGTATCATGGTCTGAGGCCTGTGATAGAGTTTATGACCTTCAACTTCTCTATGCAGGTTAGATACCTATATTTCATTCCTGATATGTCCTTGTTGTTTCTAGCAAAGGGAAGTAAACATTTAGCCTTTCTTCTTCTGTTTGCAGGCAATTGATCATATCATCAATTCTGCAGCAAAGTCGAACTACATGTCTGCAGGCCAGATTAATGTACCCATCGTTTTCAGAGGACCAAATGGTCCTGCTGCGGGTGTTGGTGCTCAACATTCGCAGGTAAGCTCGCTTTTGTGGTGATTTCACTTGAAGCATCTCATACCCCTATATCAGATTGATAACATAATTCCTTTACATAACAGTGTTATAGTGCATGGTATGGTTCAGTTCCTGGTTTGAAAGTGCTTGTACCTTACTCCTCTGAAGATGCTCGTGGACTTCTAAAAGCTGCAATCCAAGACCCTGACCCTGTTGTTTTTCTTGAAAACGAGTTGTTGTGAGTAACATGTTTATGACTCCTTGTTTGTTTGTTTCTTGTCATTCCATTTTAGTGATGCTTGGCTTGTGTGTGTTTTAGATATGGTGAGTCCTTCCCCATTTCTGCGGAAGCCCTTGATTCAAGTTTCTGCCTTCCTATAGGAAAAGCCAAGGTAATTAATGAACAGCTTTAAGGTAAAGTAGGGTAGTATGAACCAAAAGTGTTAAAATAAATAAATAAATAAATATATTTATTTATTTATTGATGACAGATTGAAAGAGAAGGAAAAGATGTAACAATCACAGCTTTCTCCAAGATGGTGGGATATGCCCTTAAGGTATATTTTTAATTTATGGGTATGGGTGTTAGGTAACACTTGTTGAGTAGTTGATCTCATGATGTTGATTTTTTTTCTTATAGGCTGCTGAAATACTCGAAAAGGAAGAAGGGATAAATGCAGAGGTAAGTTGATATTGATTGTGTTTTGGGTTGAAGGAGCATATTTGTAATATGTTGTGAGAGTTAAATAGGTAATAAACCTGCGATCCATCCGACCACTAGATAGAGACACGATAAACGCATCAGTGAGGAAAACAAACAGACTGATTACGGTGGAGGAGGGGTTTCCTCAACATGGTGTTGGTGCTGAAATATGGTATGTTAGTAATATATGTATACTAAGAAAGAAAGAGGTGGGTATGTTAGAAAGTAGTATAAAATGGTTGGTTATGTTTTTGCTATTATGTAGTGCATCTGTGGTTGAGGATAGCTTTGGTTATCTTGATGCTGGAGTGGAGAGGATTGCTGCTGCTGATGTTCCAACGCCTTATGCCGCAAATCTTGAGAGACGGGCTTTTCCTCAGGTCAAATTCAATTCAATTCAATTTGATTCTTTCATCTCACCTTAAAAAGAAAAAAAAGATGGTTGGTTAAAGTTGATTAATTTTGCAGATCGAGGATATTGTTGGTGCTGTTAAAAGAGTATGCTACAGATCGCTACCCATGGTTGCAACTGCTTAACTTATAGAGAGAGACATGAAATATGTAATAATTTTGGTGAATTTTCAAGTTAAGTTTAGTTTGTTGTAATAATAAGGACGAAACAAGTTGTTGTCGGTTTGTGTATGATTTTATTAGCCTTTTGTTTGTTTATTTTTAAAAAAAGACTTGTTTAATAAACATAACATTTGAGCATTAAATGAATTATTTAAAAGTATAAGTTTAATAATCGAAAAGTATATATAAGATATCATGAAAAAAAGAAACTTAGATGACAAGTATAAGATGAAGAAGGTGGAGATGGTTTCAGAAATTCAAGATTAACCATAAAAAATATGGGAAAACATAAAGATGGAATAAGCATAAAATAAATTTCCAAATGCAATTAATTAAATAATCAAAGCAACAGTGAAGTCGCCCCCTAAACATGAAAGTTAAAGATGACGATCGAGAGTTGAACAAACACCGAATTTTGACCTTTGACCATTGAATCCCACAATCATCACCTTCTTCTTCCTCTTCCTCTTCCTCCAATCTCCATCATTTTACCACCAAATTTTTGCAATCCCATCTCACAACAAGCTTTAATCACCATGAAGACTCCCTTCAAGAAACTCCGCGGCTTAGGGCTACACAGGCATCATCATCATCAACGCCATAACAATCTCGCTCAATCGGACGAGCTTTCTCAGGCTTCCCAGGTTTTATTTCTATTTCTTTCTTCTCTTTAATTCCAAAAAACCAACTATTCAATTGGATCTTATTCACAATAGATGATCTTGACTTTTTAGGCAACCTTTTTATCAATTCTCACCATGTCCAAAGCTAAAAAGGAACAACCTTGGATTCGATACAAATCTTTTTTTATCCGTAATAATTGATTCCTTTACCATTTTTATGTTTTGCAGGACATGCTAGACATGAAAGACTGCTATGACAGTTTACTTTCAGCTGCTGCAGCCACAGCCAACAGTGCTTACGGTATTTCACCCACGCCTCTTCTCAACAAATCTATTTTTTTTTATATATAATATATATATATATATATATTCCACAAGCAAATCCTTGCTAACTTTTATTGTCTGTTTCAGAATTCTCGGAATCATTACGGGAAATGGGAGATTGTCTTCTCGAGAAAACCTCACTAAACGACGATGAAGACAGTGGTGAGCATCAAGCTTATGATGTTTCTGTCCATAGTGGAAAATTGTTTATGCAACTCCAAATTTTCTTTCGGTTTTATTAATTTTATCCTTATTGACTCTAGCATCAGACTTTTTGTGCAGTTTCGTGAAATTGAATGTGTCTCTGTGCCTTTTCATTACCCTATCAGCAAAGATAATGTCCATGGTTTATTCTGTGAAATGTGAATTGTGGCCTATTTCCCACCTTTCTGCTAAGAACTTTGTACGCTTTGAGTTTTGAAGATGAACAATAAGTATCTAACTTATTTCTCATCGACTCAGTCAACAGCATTTTAACGGTTTGAGCAAGATCACCATCAACTACTACTAGTTGGACATGTCTAGGTGTTTTGAATAAATAAGTTAATATTGTAAAGAGCGGTCCTTGAATTGATATCTAAACCTGTCATAATTGAGGTAACAGCCTGTGCAAAAATGATGAGAATTGGTCCACAAACTAAAACAAAATTTGCTGAAACTTTCTACACTGAAAAAACCAAAGCCAACTCAAACCGTTGTGCCCTTTGTCATCTAAATGCCATTCTTTGTTATTATCTTGGTTCTGCAGTTATAGAGATGATACATTATTCACTGATTCAGTCTTTTTCATGCCAAATATGTTGTATGAGAAGCTCTCATCTCTTATCTTGTATCTTAGAAAATTCCCCATTCTTGTCTATTCGTTTTTTCATAAATTTCTAAACCCAACCATTTTGCAGGTAGAGTCTTGCTAATGTTGGGAAAGGTGCAGTTTGAAATCCAGAATCTGGTTGATCATTATGTGAGTTCTTATGCTAATCATTTTGCTGCTTCTCCAATTTCATGTGTATTACTATTTTGTGATGTTTATGAATTCCTTTTTCAGCGTGCACATATTGCACGGACAATCACAGTCCCTTCAGAGTCCCTTCTTAATGAATTGCGTATAGTCGAGGTATGTAATTTCTCTACTCTTATAATTTTCAAGTGACACACATCAATCATTTACCCCTTGCCAATTTTATAGTAGTTGGTCATGCGCAGGATTTTAGTCGGTGGTTGTCTGGACTCTGGATATAACTCCTAGGATTACCTTCATGAATATGAATCATAGAAAATTATCAACATTGTTTCGTGGTGTTACACCACCTGCTAATTCTCTATCCATACATTTATTTCACAACATGACATGGTTGTTGCTGATATTTATTTATTACATATTATTTTGCCCTCCTTTTGCAGGACATGAAAAGGCAATGCGATGAGAAGAGGTCCGAAACTATTCATATTCTTGTTCTCCATTTAGGTATTCGTTTTAAGTTCGCTTAGTGAAAAGAATGTTTAGTAACCTTGTATGGATAATATGGTCATCCCAGGATTTTGCATGAAGAAATGAAAATTAGACACAAAGACAAGAGAAGGTTGGGAAGCAGTAAAGGAGAATACATTTCCTCCCATCAGCTGCGAGCAGCTCAGGAAGAATTTGATGAGGATGCTACTTTATTTGTTTGCCGGATGAAGTCATTAAAAGGGGGGCAATCTCGTAGTCTTCTAACACAGGCTGCTCGCCACCACGCTGCTCAGGTTTGCATCTGAATCAAGTAAAATAATGTCATTTGGTTTGTAGCCCATAGATGTTTTTTGGAAACACCTCTTACATGTTAGAAACACAGATGTGCTTTTTCAGGAAGGCTCTAAAATCTCTAGAAGCAATTGAGCCACACGTTAAATTAGTAACCGAACAGCAGCATATTGATTACCAGTTCAGTGGGCTTGAAGACGATGATAGGGACTCTGTTTTTCTTACTGATGACGAAGATGATGAAGATGAAAGTGATGATGATCATTACATGCATGAAGATGGTGAATTGAGTTTTGACTACCAGAGGAATGATCAGAAGAATGAGGTTTCTAGCTCAGAAAACTCAATGGAGGTGATGCTCCATATCCTGTATGCTCTTCTTGCTTCTGAATGCATTACCTATCGCCATCTGTTTAATCTATTTCTGTTTCTTTTTCTACAGTTAGATAGTGCAGACCTTACATTTCCACAAGTTGCTTCACTGAACTCGGTCAAGGTAAAACATTTCACATCCATTGACCTACTACCCAGCATGTGGAATGTTCCATCATTATAGAACAAACATTTCATGATTATGATTTTGCAGGAAAACGTGCGCAGGAAGCCCCTCTGGAACTCATCTATCCTCGATATAGAGCTCAATGCAGGCAGCAAATCAGCACCACTTTCTGCCATGAATAATATTGAAGCGAGTGAAACGTTTAGACAGATGCGACAGTCATCTGTCCGAAAGCTGAACACATATGTTCTCCCAACACCACTTGAGAAGAGTCCAAGATTGGATGCTCAAGGTCCTCGACCAACTAATGATAATATGTGGCATTCATCCCCTTTGGAGCATAAGTATGAAGATATTTTGAGGAAGGAGAAGAACTCAGGACCAACAGTCTCAAACACACACTCAGTAGTGAAGGAGAGCAACAAGAGTAGTAAATCTGATCCATGCTCATCTGTTAGACATGCTTTCTCTGGTCCTTTGGCTGGTAGTGCACAGCCAAACAAGTCTCTGTCATATGCTAGTGGTCCTATTGGAACAACTCTGCAATCTTCTGGATCTCTTTCAAGCATCTCAATACTTCGCCCAGCATCAACTACCAAACTACCCTTGTCAAGTAATAGTTTTGTGTCATCGCCTAAAATTAGTGAACTCCATGAGCTCCCTAGGCCCCCTGCAAATTTAGCCTCTAAGATATCTTTAAAAGCTGGCTTCTCGGCCCCTTTGGTGACATTTAAAGGTGGGTCAGATTTTAACGTTATAAATAAGTCTCCAGCATCTACACTTGCAGTGCTCCCTGAGGCCATTCAATCCATACCCACAGAATCACAGAATTTCAGAAGAGCCGAATCGTCAAACCATAGGTACATGTACTGCTCTTTTTCTTCATTTGCAAATATGTTCTGTGCTACTTTGATTTAATCAGCAAAGCCCACATGGCTATTCTGAGATTAACAACTGTTTTCTTGAATACTTACAACCATACAATATTTTGACATAAATTCATTAGTTGAATGCTCAACTTTGGACTAATCATGTGTGTGTTTCTCAACCTGTATTATGCCTTGATCCTTGTATTTCTAATTGAGCTTTCTTTTGTATGAGTTCAGGTGAAGGATCATGGCACATCCGGGTTAAAGCAGTTATGGGGGAGAAAACGTTAAGTTTCATATTATGAGGTAGACGCATCAAACTGTAGATAAACTCATCAATATTTTTCACTCATGTAATTGGAGTACCATCTTAGAGAAGCTCATTTTAACTCTGTAGAGGTCATATTACTAATATTATTTCCTGAGATGTGGAGTTGTAAAACACAAGAAAGACAAAAAGATAATCAAACTTAAGGTATACAGAACACACACCTACATGACATCATTGCAGCAAATTCTTCAACTAGTTGATTATCCTTAACAATTGAAACAAGATCTAATACAACCCTAAACCTCTGGCCTTTTATAATTGAGATTGAGTTCCACTAGCTAGTTTCTGGAAAAGAAAGTCTTTGTGAATTCAGCTGTAAGTTGACTCGTCCAAAACCTACAGAAACCGACGCATGGGCCAACCCACTTCATTCCTTGATATCTCTACTGCTGTTGGCTTCATTACACAGTATCCAGTAGCGGGTTTTGAACAAGAACCAACTCCGCATGTACGATTGCTATCAAGTTTTCTCCTTTCCATTTCTGAACTTCTCCTCCTCAGATTTTGCTTCCTAAGAATAGAAGAGTTCATTCTGTGGTTTAGTCTTACGGGAATGGGCATTGCCTCAAGCCCCATTAGCTTACCGACGACCCCTGGCTTGCACCAGATGACCCTCTCCCCTGCAACTTTTGCAGGCAAACCAATCCAACGACCATGGTCAATTGATTTGCGGGTGGTGAGATTGACATGATCAAAGTTGCGAAAGGAAGAGCGATACATAGCATCCTTGCCATCAAGAGAAAACCTAGGGTACTGATTGAGGGCGTTTCTGGCAGAGCGTAAGATGTCGGAACTGTTGACACAAGACATCCTATGATGAACGTCACCGTAGTCCTCTAGCTTAGCTCTTCTGGCCATTTTCTCCTCCAAATCCAAATGCATGATCATCTCCTCGAGGGTTGGGTGATGATCAGGATTGATTTGCTGGTTTAGAGTAGAGGTGGAGCCATCACCACTGCACAAGTTCTTGAAACCCTTTTTCATCTTGAAACCCAGGGAGTTCTTGAGGAGAAGGAAGGACAAGTCTTTCATGATGATTCATACAGTCAATTCATTGACAACAAGTTGATGTTGGTTTTTTGAGATAGATAGCGGTGTGTGTTGAAAGAGAGATAGGTAGTATTGGTGGTGGTATTAAAGCAATCACATGAGAATTGAGAGGAGAGTTGTTTTTGTTGTTGTTGTTGTTGGCAAAATGGATTCATTAGGAACACACACACACACATACATAGCAGTTGCATCTTCATGATGATCCTATTTATTGCTAACCAACTAGACTTGTATACTATATGCAACGCATGACCCTCCTTACTGCTTTTACTTTTACAACCAAATTTTTTTACATAAAGTCAAGTCATGTTCCCCACACACATGCAAATTAATCGCTAAATCATTGACAGCATATATATGATATATAAATATATGGAATTAATATGTATGCTCAAATATTACTTTCACTGCATGGGATGAAAGAGGTATATATATATCCTAATTAAACATTTCCAATCATCAACCACATTCCCTACTCTATCATTTATTTCTTGAAAAATATTACTGATATTAATCTCTTTTTCAAAGGGACTAATTAATCAAGGAATAGTTTAAGACATACTTTTCTTTAGTCAATGTATATTGTATTATCTTCTTTTAAGTTGGAAAAAAACTTGTATGTATTCTGATTTTATGTAGGTTTTCTTTTTACTAAAAAAAGTTTTAATTAAGATTTGTTATAAGACGGGTAAGCACAAGTTATCTAAAAAAAGAAAGGGATGTAGCTTGTAACTATGATTATATTATATGAACAATATATATATATATATATATATATATATATATATATGAGACGACCACAATACATTTTAATCTTTTTGTGGCGGTTACTTTTAGCCTAAAGCTTGTTGTTGGTCAAGTGTTATTTTAATTTTGTGTGCATGGTAGGATAAAAAGATATGTTGTTTTTTTATAAATTAATTAGCAACAATTGAAGAAGGAAGGAAGGAAGGTAGGAGAGATGAGAAATGATGGAGTGCCAAACTAACAAAATACAATCAATTCAATAAATGAAATGTATAACAACTATATATCCCCAAATAAATCCACATCATGATCATGTTAGGCCTAAGGGTATCTTCAAAGGATTCCCTTTAATTTCATGGCGTAGTTGCTATTTGCTACTACAATAATCAAGAAAGGAAACATCAAATAACATAATAAAACGAAACCCACAAAGAAAATGAGGGGATTTAAAAAATTTCCCATAATTTAGCAATGTTACAAACACAGTTGCATTGGTTGGTCATGCAGTCCTACCATATTTTAACACCATCAGATGGTCGTCGATATTGGTTGAAGTTGGAGAAAAGACTGCGTCGCTCCTTGGATTGTGCCATATGTTATCTCTTACATGATGTAGCGTCATGAATGGTAAAAGTTGTTGTCCTTTACATGTTATTTCTATCTGGAAGGAAAACAAACATCATGATACATACATACATACATACATTTATGTAACAACGTACTTTTGGGTGAGAAGTAAAATATAATTATACTATCACCTTACATAAATTTGCTTTTAATTTTTATATAGAAAGACTTTCATTTTGTCATATAAAATGTAAAATCTAACATTCATATAATATTCTACATCTTTTATATAAAAAAAACTACGTCTACAAATTAAATGTGAATGAGGACACGGTTAATTATGGTAACATATTTTATTGTTTTTTAAATGTCAAGTAAATACAATGTGATCAATATTTGTAAAGAATTATAGATTATATAAGCAATTATTAAAAAAAAATTGACAATCTTTAAAGAGAAAAACGTTTGTAGTTGGTAGATATTTAAAAGAATAAGGATGTGAATTTAGATCCTAATAAACAAACATCTACAAGTTATAAAAGAAAATAGTTGTTAAAGATTTAAGAACAAAACAAACGAGTTAAAAAGTAGATTACATAAAATAAAAGTGATAATCCATGTCAAAATAAATGTGAATAATGATAAAAGTCATGTGGTTTTAGAAAGATTAAGTTATTACAATTTTTGTAATTTATTTTCTTAAATTCAAGATGTGAGAGCGTAATTGTTGGAAACCCAAAAAAGAAAAGAGAGAATAAAATGGTTAATGGTTAGAAAGAAAAATGAAGTAATATTACGTATGCATGAGGTTAGAGGGTAGAGGTAGTGAGAGGAAATGTGGGTGGTGGGTCCTACAAGTTGGATGTTAGGTGAGGTCCACCTTTAGTTTTTTCTTCTCCAAAGCAAACAAATGTCTTTTTCTATACACATTCGCCGTATCAAAAACAAAACTCCTAAATTAATTTAATATTTGAATCCCAGTTTCTTTAAAGTGGTGCATCATCAACATTAATTCCATCTATTATTTCCACATTTTTTTTAATAATATATACATGCTTATGCTTATGCTTATGCTTATTATGCTTGCTTCCTAATTAAACCAAACATCCATCCATAAAGGATAGGATGTATATGTAAAGTTAATTATTTGTATGTATATAATAATTAAAAATGAAAAATTGAGACTATATCATATCATCATCGCCATGTTATAAGATTAATATAATGAATGATGGCTTATATATATAATTAAGAAAATAGATTTATTAAGGTTGGGTTTAATCATTTTTATAGAAATTTGAGGGAGAGGGACCCCTCATCACAGACTAAGACTTTGCTCTCAACCTACAATCATTATCCCTTTAGACTTCTTCACCTTCATTTTATTATTATTATTATTATTATTATTATTATTATTATTATATTACTAATTCATTTTTTTTAATTACTTACACATTCTTTCAAATGCTGACCCATGCCTCCTCCTCCCCCTCCCTTGTTTATATGTATCATCTACCAATCTCATGCACGTCTCTCTCTCTCTCTCTTCCATCCCATAATAAATAATTAAAATGTCAAATATTCTACCATCAATAATTTAAGTTTTCTTTGCCCTCCACTCTCTATCTATATATTCCCATTCTCTCTCTCTCTCTCTCTCACATACATACACATATTATATATCTATATATATATATGATTAGTAATTGGATTCATACAACATTTATATTATACATGATTTTGATTAAGGAAATACAAGTATTTGTGTGTGTATATATATATATTAAGAAAAAGGCATTTATTTCTTAAATAAAGATTCATACGATTGTTTGTTAACTGGTTTGTATTCACAAGTCAAACATGTTTAATTGGTAGCTAGCAACTAGGTGTATCTATATTCATTCATAATTTATTACTATATATATATAAACTCATCATCTTTAATTTACTTTTTTATAACATAACTTAAGCAGAAGCCTTCCTTTCCTATCAATAATGAATCATTTCATATATAAAGCATGCATTCCATTCAAACACGTTAACACTTATTTTTACTTCATTAAAACTTACATCATCATCATATCCTTTACTACTGTTTTTGGTATATACATTGATTTAAGGTGAACCTATATATTACCTACTATGTTCATGCCTTCATGCACATATATGTAATTTGTAATCACATGCATGATT